GGAAGAAAAAAAGAGAAAAAGAGAAAAGAAAAAATGAACGAATTATTTTATTTTATTTTTTAAAAATATAAATAAGAATAAGGTGAGTTGGCATAAAAAAAATTACACGTCTAACATGTTTTCAATTTGTTTTTGACACGTCATCAAAAAATTATAAAAAATGCCACGTAAGCGAGTTAACGATCGAAATTAACAGAAGGACTAACGGAGTGCATTTCTTAGAGTTGAGGGATCAGAAAAGTGCAAAAAATTGTTAAAGGACCAAAAATGTGCAACTCACTAAAGTTGAGGGACCAAATCTAGCATTTAACCAAATTTTAATTTTTAAATATAAATTAAAATTTTAATTTTTTTTTGAATCAAAGTTAATATGCACTATATATATATATCACCCCACTCAAGTTTATTCTAATTCATAATATATGTCAAAGGGAAATGCCCCCAATTAAATTGCAGCCTCAGCAGTACCTTATCTGTGCACACCACCCTGTACACAACATACCAAGCGTGCCCTTGTCAAACATGCGGTACTACCTAGAGTGCCAAATTAATGTTTTATAATTCTTCCTTCTTCCTTTACTGAGTGAGTTAATTAATTACCATTATTAATTATTTAACTGCTATAAAGGCACCGTACCACTTTGGACATGCCCCATACATGTCCAGGGCATGCGTACTGTGACCAATGTACCCAACCATGTGCCTTACCTTAATAAAATTAGAATATATACTACATGTTAGCAAAAAAAAAAAAGAAGAAAAAAACCTCAATATACACCATGTATAAGGGTTCATTGTAAAAACAAAATTGGCACTAATTAGTAGAGTAAGGATTCGTTTTGAAATATTTCTTAGTGTTTAAATTTCTTATTTTTATGTCTTTTATTGTTATTTAAATATATATAATGTTAATTAAAATAAATATTAAATATATTCTATATATGTTTGAGATATTAAAAAATTAAAAAGTTACAATTACAATTATAACACAATATTTTTAAATCAATTTTAAATTATATTATATAAATATTAATATATGTAAACTAATAAATTAAATTGACTCCAAATCTCATAATTTAGAGGGAAGAAAAAAAAAATCATAATTGATGGATAGAAGGGTGGACTAATTTAAAAAGTAATGAATCTTGATCTGATGAGAACTTTTCTAGAAAAAAGCTACTCTTAAGAAAATCTCAACTTTAAAGAAAATATACTCTATATATTATATAAGAGTAGTAGGAGCATCTAATTGGGTGCAATGGAGCGCTATATATCTTGTAAGTAAGATGCTAAGTGGATAATATGATATGGAACTACAATAATGGAAATAGATACATTGCCATTTGTCTGCCCACATTAATTATAATATTCCTCGTGCATCTTTCCAAGTTGTGTAGAGATTTCTTTTGCAGGATCGAAAAAGAGGATTAAACCGTCCAAATCCAAGATAAAAATCACAGAATATGTAGAATCCAAGCCATCTAGAATATGCAAATTCGATCTCATCTCATTTCTTTTCCCATCTTATTCATACAGTACTACTAGTATATGTGTCTTAAATTTGACACCATCATACTTACTATTGTCACGTACTATAATATATATAAATATAAAGTTGTTTTGTTTCACTATTATAGACTTTTTTTATTTAAAATTGTCTCATATTAATAGCTATTTTTAGATATTTTAAAATAGATAAATTTTTTTCTCTCAATTGCCTTTGTTATTGTCTCATAATTTTAATTATTCATCTAATTATAAAAAAAATATATTTTTGTCTTTATATTTTTTTAAAAATAACATAAATATAAATATTCTAAATTATTCTTAAGATCATAATATGAAGAAAAAAAAACTCAATTATTCGTGAGGGATAGAGTATTAAATTAGAAGAAAAGAAATTTTTTTTTTAAAAAAAAAAGGGAGAGAGGGAGAAGGGATTTAGTACTAGTTTATAAAATACTACTGTATAAAATTGAGGGTGCATATGAAGGTCGCAAAGTGGGGTGGAGTAGGGCCGACAACAAGGACGGTAACTGCCGTCTATTAACCAACAACAACACCCTTCTCATAGTCATAGGCTGTGCCTCAATCCTGTTGGAGTCTTCCTTCTCTTGTCCTGTCCTGATATGTGATCTATAAATAGCAACCAAAACCTCGCATCATTTCTCACTCAGCAATAGCCTATCCATTCTCTCCATCTTCAACTACAAACATGCAATACAAGGCGGCTCAGTCATGGGGGAGTGCTTCGACTTCATGCATTAATCAGGCACCCAGAAGCGCGGTGGCAGCTACAGGTGACCCTTTGGAGCGCATACAGAGGCTGGCCTCCGAGAATGCGGTGGTCATCTTCAGCACAAGCAACTGCTGCATGTGCCACGCCATCAAGCGCCTCTTCTGCGGCATGGGCGTCAACCCCACTGTGCACGACCTGGACCAGGACCCCAGAGGGAAGGACATGGAGAAGGCCCTCATGCGTCTCCAGGGCAGCTCCTCCGCCGGCCCCGTCGTCTTCATTGGTGGCAAGCTTGTGGGTGCTATGGACAAAGTCATGGCTTCCCATATCAACGGTACCCTTGTGCCCCTGCTCAAGGAAGCCGGCGCTCTCTGGCTCTAGCCTACCTAGCTTCAATTTATATGTAGCTAGCAGACTATAAGTATAAACAAAGCGAGGCATAACTAGTACTGATACTATGTATAGGAAACTAATGCTCTCTCGATGCATGCTCCAGACATCAGAGGAAGCGGAGTTGTTGTGTTTAATTTTTGAGTTAATTTGTCTCTTCCATTTTGTGGTTCACTAAAATGGACAGAGTCATGTTTTAGAGCTTTCTTGCACTTTTTTTTTTTTTTATGGGTCTTCCTGTTACCTGGTTTGGGTAATAACCTGATCTCAGAAAGAAAAAAAAGTAATTTGCTCCCTCCCCTGTAAAGAAAAAAAAAAAAACTTAATTTTCTTCTATACTTAGTTTGAGTTAATTTCAAATACAT